CGCAGTCTGTGCCAAAGCGGGCTAGAGAAGTGGGGAGATCAGACAGACGGTATCCAAAAGGGGACTGGGAGAGACATGAGAGAGGGGCATGGGAATTAAAGTAGCCAGAAAAGACAGAGAGAACCCACACCAGGGAGGCCAGAGATTCCTGTCACTTTAAAAAGATGGAATGGCAGGAGCTGAGGCTGACAATTAAGGAGTGAGAACCCAGTACAGGGTTGGGGAAGGAGTCGGGGGGGTGGGGAGTAAGGCAGGTGATTGACAGAGGGTACTGCTTCCAGGCACAGAAGCCCAGTCCTGGAGCCAGAGTGGGCAGTCAGGCCCTGTGGGTAGGAAGGAAAGAAGCTCCCACAGGGAAGCAGACTGTGGGAAGCAGCCTCCAAGGAAATGAACCTGCTTGCAAGGATGAGAGCACGTCTAGCCCAGGGAAGTTATGCTTTGTGAGAAGTGAGCTTTGCAAAGGCAATATGCACATGTTTTAGTTATATGATTATATGTTCAATGTTGCTTGTTGTATATAACCAGAGGACCAGATGTGGCTATAAGGAGCAGACTGGTGGCCACAGGGGTGCACTAGGGACACCCAGCATAGAGATGGGGCAGGGTGAAGGACCCAGTAGGCTGTGTGGGGCTGAAGCCCAAATGCAGCTGAGGGAAGCAGAGCTGAGGGGTGCCTTGCCCTGGGCCCAAGACACCTGGGAGGATGAGGCTGAGCCAAAAGCAGCCTTGCTATGGACAGGGATGCCAGGGGGGGCTGAAACAGGGCCAGATAGGGCAAAGGGGCCTGGAGATTAGAAAGACAGTGAAGGCTAAGACAGTGAAGGCTGAGACTGGAGAGACCAGGCCCAAGACAGTGGGCTGAGGCTGTCAATATTCAGAGTAAGCCGGAGGGTGAATTTAGTAAAGCTGAGACCTAACAAGAGATCAAAAAAGGCAATGGAGTAATACCTGCAAGGCACTGGCATGGCTGTAGGGGTGGAAGGAGGCCACAAATTTAGCCTTTAAGGTGCACAGGATCTGAGGGAATGCATTCTGAGATAGAGAGAGACTGAGAGAGCACCTAGGCTCACCAGCTTCCAAGGGCAGCCTCCCCTCATTACTCTCAACAACAAGGTATGGTAGGACAAGGAAGCTAGGTGAGACCCTGGGAGGCAGGAGCAAGGGCCTGACAGAATCAGAGCAGCCACCAAGGGGCACCACAGCAGTCCTCGGGTGCCAATCCTGTCCCACTCCCCCACTGCCCCTTCCACTGCCTGCCCCATTACTTTCCCCTGCCTGCCCCATCATGTGCCCCCTCACTGCCTCCCCCACTATCTGTCCAGCCACCTCCTGTCCCATTACTGCCCCCTTTGATGCCTGTTCCCCCACCACCTGCAGTAGTGGGGGGAGGGACACATTTAAGATGACCCCAATAATTAGATTCTATACATGGAAAATTATAACAAATGTATACATTTTATATGTATAGAATCTAATTATTGGGGGTGGTCTTAAATCCCAGGTTATCATAAATTTGTGTACATATGGTACTTCCTATCCCACCTTCTCTTTCTGAAGAGGTTCCAAACAACCTCAAGAAAATAACTAGGGAAACCTAAGGTATTCAGCATTATAACTTAGGAAATCATCTTAAGACTCTTAGAGAATTGAAATATTATTGACTGGAAAAGCAGGAATGTAGG